ACTGGCAGCCGGCCTTGGCTGGCCATGGAGGCACAAACGAAGGCACCCAAACGAAGGATACTGAGGGATACCTAAGGACCAGGAATCTTGCGATGTCTGTCACACAAAAACAAAAACAACAACATCAACAAATTGATCAATTAAAAAGAAAATGAGATTGGTTTGTGAATAATTTCTAAATCTATTTTCATTTTGGACCGATGGAAATAACAATTTTCTCATGATAAACCGGAATTAGGTAATATTTTCATTATTTTTGTTCACATTCGAGTCACCGCCATCTTGGTGCACTCGTTTGTGACTCCATGAGAGAGAACCAATCAGATTTGGATTTTTTTTTTAGGCCACTTTCAGCCCAACCAAAAGTGAGTTGTCGTAACTCTGGGTATAAAGGGACTCTATTTATCGCGACCGCACTGCTACTTGTGATAAAGTTTGTATAGGTAATTTGAGCCAGAGAATCCATTTTTAGGGTCGTTTCGACGTTTTCAAATCCGCTTGGGATTTTCACGTACTGCTGTGGTCATCCGAACAACTTCGACGTTGAATATCACCCAAATCGTTAAGTACTAGAAAGTCTGAGACTATGTTTTGGCGAAGTTAGAGTCGTGACCGAGCAGTGGTGCCGGAAGTACAAGTGGCTGTTAGACCATGACCTTGATAGTTTGATGGCTTGGTTTGATCTTGTGATTCGTGGAGATGAGGGAAAAGACATCAGCAGACGTAGAAGCGCAACAATCACATAAATTAATTCCTGGCCAATACCAAAGGTCCCTGACTTTTTCCGGCTAGTTTTCCCGTGACGGTTCCTTGTTGCAGGCAACAACCGTGTATATCGGGTGTTCCAGAGCACCCGCCCACTACCTTTTTCTCGGAAACGGCCGAGAATTGAACTTCAGGGCTATATCAGCCCCATAAAATTCAATAAAAATATTATCAGCCCCCATTTTGGGAGGGTTTTAAGAGGGGTGCCCTAGGGAGGAGCGAAAAAACATTTTTTTCGAAATCCGATGACGGCTAGTAAAAAAAAAAAAGTGCCTTTAGGTACTAAATGGACGAGGAAAGAATCCTGGCTCAACAGGACAACGCTTTCATCGAACTTATGGGGCTCGAATTTTCAAAATCTCAAATTTTCGATTTTACCGTGTATTTTTCTAAGATAATTTCTGAGCGATTGAAAAGACAGAACTAATACGCATTACATATGTATGTTTGCACCAGGGGGCTATGCCCTCTGGCCGCTACGCGGCCTAACCCCCATGGGGCGCTTTGCGCTCTCTTAGGCCCACGTCGACAAAAGAACGACCAACAAAAAAAAATGAAAATATTTTCATAGGTACTCGACTCTCATTTGTCCAATCTTTCTCTGACCGGGAGCGATTGGACCAATGAGAATTAAATGAAAAAATCGGCATTTATTCCAAACTTCACGCCAAGACTACAACGAAACTGAACGGAGGGTATCGTCGCTTTTGGATAGTCTGTAGCAAAGAAGCATACCTTCGATTCACTTACCCTACTAACAGACCAAGATTCAACATTTCCCGCTTAGTTCAATTTTCCACTGAAATTCCCGCCATTTTTCTTTGGCGGGAATTTCAAATTTTGTCCCCCTTCTGAAGCTGTCTGGTTTACTCTTATATAAAGAACCTGGGTCTTATTTTCAAATTCTGAATACAGTGGGCTCATCTAGAGACTATCACGTGTCAATATCCGCAAAATCATTGTCTCCAGTTCTGTAGTCGATCTCAGATTTGGGATCGTTTCAGATCAGATTTATAGGAGATCGTTTTCAATGATGACATGCCGCGCCTTGCAGAACTGAGACCACGCCCATTTTTGTGAAGGGCGATTTTTTAAATTCAGTTCATAACCTCAACTCTACAAGACTGCCACGGAAGCCAGGTTGGTCAGAGAAATGTGAAAAAATAGTTTTTGTGCTTCTATTGGATAAAGTAACAAAAAACCAAATTATAAAAAAAATCGGAGTCGGTCAAGCATCAGTCCCTGTATGATTTCGCGTGGAATGACCCATCAGCGAATTCAGTCAGAAAACTCGTATGAATCGTACCTTAGTTGTCGACATTTCTACGTACTTCGTACAGGTGTACTAGAGTACCTGTATAGCGAGAGTATAGACAGATGTGAAACTCCGAAAATCCATCAGGCCTTCACCGATGCCTCCGCGAATAAAGTTAGGGCCCAGGAATGCAGCCAACCTATGAATTTCAATTATCCAGAGCGATTTACTAATACAATTGTTACGAACCATCGTTTGTAAAGCGCACGTATTTGACTTAGTTTTTGCATAAATTTAATCATTTTTGCGGAAGAACGCTCATTTATATACATTCTAAGCCATCTTGGTTAGAATTGGAATCCGCAGACTGGCAGTGAAATTTTGTGCGTTAGTAGTTGGTTAGAAGAGTGGCTGCACTTTTGGGCCCTAAGCCCTCCATGAAGCGATCTGTCCATACTCTCGCTATATGTATAGGTACTCTAAGGTGTACATCCGTCGCCCTATGTATTTTTTCACGAGGAATCTATCTTTAATGTCAAAATTTCGATTTATGGAAGGCATGTATCGATAAATCGAAATTTCTTGGGATACACGTATAAAAATCGCTTTTTTAGACAAAATATCGCAAAAATCGACATGTGAATACGATCTATCGCTTTTTCGACCTTAAAAATCGATTCTCTGACTCAAATTACCCATTCATCTACACTATAAGCTCCGAGACCTCCTAAATTTGCATATCTGGTAACGCTTATTCCAGTGTTCCACCGGGCCGATTTTCATGATTTTTGCTTTAGATACCTAAGCCCGCTTTATTTAGATTTTGAAAATATGACCGAGACTTTTTTATATTACGTGCTAAAGTTGCGAATCTTCCCAATTAAACAATGTAAATTTTTATTTTTTGCCATCGTTCGTTTGAACGTTCATTCGTTTGATCATAAGATCCAACTGGACCTAAAGGATTATTAGATCCGTGCACGTGCAGGAAAATTAAATGAATTAAAATTAAGAATATAATTAAAAATGGAAAAAAACCGATGAAGAGTAGCATTAGGAACTGACAGAAAACCCACCCCAAACTCAGAAAACAATAGTTTCACCCAATCTTGGAATAGAAGAAATTAGATTGGTGATAACTGCGGCTCCCCAAAAAGACATACGGGCCGATTTCCATGATTTTGCAGATATTGACACGTGGTAGTCCCTAGATGAGTCCACTGTATTCAGAATTTGAAAATAAGACCCAGGTTCTTTATATAAGAGTAAACCAGACAGCTTCAGAAGGGGGGCAAAATTTGAAATTCCCGCCAAAGAAAAATGGCGGGAATTTCAGTGGAAAATTGAACTAAGCGGGAAATGTTGAATCTTGGTCTGTTAGTAGGGTAAGTGAATCGAAGGTATGCTTCTTTGCTACAGACTATCCAAAAGCGACGATACCCTCCGTTCAGTTTCGTTGTAGTCTTGGCGTGAAGTTTGGAATAAATGCCGATTTTTTCATTTAATTCTCATTGGTCCAATCGCTCCCGGTCAGAGAAAGATTGGACAAATGAGAGTCGAGTACCTATGAAAATATTTTCATTTTTTTTTGTTGGTCGTTCTTTTGTCGACGTGGGCCTAAGAGAGCGCAAAGCGCCCCATGGGGGTTAGGCCGCGTAGCGGCCAGAGGGCATAGCCCCCTGGTGCAAACATACATATGTAATGCGTATTAGTTCTGTCTTTTCAATCGCTCAGAAATTATCTTAGAAAAATACACGGTAAAATCGAAAATTTGAGATTTTGAAAATTCGAGCCCCATAAGTTCGATGAAAGCGTTGTCCTGTTGAGCCAGGATTCTTTCCTCGTCCATTTAGTACCTAAAGGCACTTTTTTTTTTTTACTAGCCGTCATCGGATTTCGAAAAAAATGTTTTTTCGCTCCTCCCTAGGGCACCCCTCTTAAAACCCTCCCAAAATGGGGGCTGATAATATTTTTATTGAATTTTATGGGGCTGATATAGCCCTGAAGTTCAATTCTCGGCCGTTTCCGAGAAAAAGGTAGTGGGCGGGTGCTCTGGAACACCCGATATACACGGTTGTTGCCTGCAACAAGGAACCGTCACGGGAAAACTAGCCGGAAAAAGTCAGGGACCTTTGGTATTGGCCAGGAATTAATTTATGTGATTGTTGCGCTTCTACGTCTGCTGATGTCTTTTCCCTCATCTCCACGAATCACAAGATCAAACCAAGCCATCAAACTATCAAGGTCATGGTCTAACAGCCACTTGTACTTCCGGCACCACTGCTCGGTCACGACTCTAACTTCGCCAAAACATAGTCTCAGACTTTCTAGTACTTAACGATTTGGGTGATATTCAACGTCGAAGTTGTTCGGATGACCACAGCAGTACGTGAAAATCCCAAGCGGATTTGAAAACGTCGAAACGACCCTAAAAATGGATTCTCTGGCTCAAATTACCTATACAAACTTTATCACAAGTAGCAGTGCGGTCGCGATAAATAGAGTCCCTTTATACCCAGAGTTACGACAACTCACTTTTGGTTGGGCTGAAAGTGGCCTAAAAAAAAAATCCAAATCTGATTGGTTCTCTCTCATGGAGTCACAAACGAGTGCACCAAGATGGCGGTGACTCGAATGTGAACAAAAATAATGAAAATATTACCTAATTCCGGTTTATCATGAGTTTTTTTTTTGTTGGTTGTTCTTTTGTCGACGTGGGCCTAAGAGAGCGCAAAGCGCCCGTTGGGGGTTGGGCCGCGTAGCGGCCAGAGGGCATAGCCCCCTGGTGTAAACATATGTAGTACGTATCAGTTCTGTCTTTTCAATCGCTCAGAAATTATCTTAGAAAAAAACACGATAAAATCACTAACAACAATTGGTTAAAGTGAAGGGGAAATTTTTTTTGCTCGCTTATCTCTTGGCCAGATTAAAATTCGCTGAAACTAAATACTTTAATAAAATTAATAATCTTGATTTCCAGAAAGGAAATTCAGATGTGTTTTTGCCTGTGATCGATTCTTTTCTTCCTGCCTCGGAACAATACCTTTCAAAATCACCACTTGAAACATTGGAAGAAGGTTCTTTTATGAAAATCCCACTTTTGACTGGTATTGTAGATTATGACGGAGTTGCATATCTAGGTATGTATTCATTATGAATGTGATGATCTAAATTCAAGTGAAATAGGTGGGCGACCTATCCAGCCAATTGATCATACCAATGAACGCCAATTTTTTGTGTCTACATTTATCACTGGTTTATTCAAGAAAACAAAAGTATGGCAACGGTTTTCACATGGAGTTGACTTAAACAGTGGTCGGTACAAGAATTTTCAAAAATCACGAGTAAATCGAAGAACATATGTAGTAAACAGGGAAAACCGGCTGTATATTTACGGGCAAAAGATGCAAAATGTATACGTACCATTATACGAGGTCTGTTAGATTAGAAACCGGATTTTGGTCATAACTAGCCCACAATGCGTCCAAATTACGTTTTCTTGAGCTTTTCTGATAGCTGAAAATATATTTAAGAACGCTACGTTCACAAATTTGAAAAATCATAATTAGCTTTGTTGGTATGTGGCTTGAAGTAAGGCAACCTCAAGGGTGTTTTGCGATTTTTATGTTTGACCGAACCTGTCTCTCTTTTTTCGGTCTTGCACTACATTTTTCAACCCACAAGGACGATTGGAGTTTCGTCTCCATATCGTAGCCGTACACTAAAGTATTGTCACAGAAAATTATCCTATCCAAAAATGTAGGACCATTGTTAGAACGTTCAAGCAGCTAAAGGGAAATTGACATTTGGTTGGATTTTCGTTCAACGGACAACAATCAAGGGGTAAGTGTACCTGAAACTCGATGCGTGTCTACATATTCTATCAAAATTGTATGCACATAGCCTTCAGAAATATTACTCTGTTCAACAAGCTCGAAACGACCATTTTCGAGCACTTTTGCCCGCACTTCTTCCACGTGACGAATGTCAGTTGCCGTTGAGGGTAGATTCCCATACTCCTCATCTTCGACGAACTCCTGACCAGTTTTGAATCGTTTAACCCACTCAAAACAGTGGGAACATCTCATACAATGATCTTGGTAAACTTTACTTAGCATACCAAAAGTTTCGGTACAAGGTATACCGAGTTTAAAACAAAATTAAATGTTGAGTCTTTGCTCTATCAGTGATCGCATGCTGAAAATCGCAAAACGCACCTGACTTACTTGTATTCAAGATGACACAGAATAAACACTGATCAAAATAAACAAAATCCGTGAACGTAGCGTTCTTAAGTATATTTTCAGCTATCATAAAAGCTCAAGAAAACCTAATTCGGACGCATTGTGAGCTAGTTATGACCAAAATCCGGTTTCTAATCTATCAGACCTCGTAAATACGAATACGTAGAGCGGTGCGTACTCCGATTCTACAGGGTGTACCAAAAGTCCGTCCCACCCCTGCTAACTTTTGAACGAATTGAGCTAGGGTAATGAAACTTTGGGAATATTCCTATCTCAAAGGAGACCATCTTTCGGAGGGGGGGTCAAAATTTTGGTCCCCCCTCAGGGGAGGGCGCGAGGGGCCCCCAACTTTTTTTTTTCAAATGGCAACCCCCATCTTGTGATACCTCATTCGAAAGAGCATAAAAAACTAAGAATTTAGGCGCAAACCGCAGATCAATATCTTAATTTTTGACCGAGTCATGATAGGTCAAAGGTCAAATTTGACCTTTTTTCAAAAAATCATAACTCCGGTTCAAATTATAGTAAAGAAAAAAGTAAAACGGGAAAATTTACCAAATTGTGTCCGCTTTTAAGTAAAAATTGCAGAGATCACTTCGTTTTACTTTTAAGGGGGGGCTCGGACCCCCAAATACGTCAATTCAAAGGTCATTCAATTTTCCCGCGAAATCAGCCATTTCCCCGAGATTTGCCTCCAAATTATCTCAGTAAGGTCAAAATTTGTTCAACATTACGTTGGCAAGTTCCCAAATTTCGGGAAAAGTTTAAAAAAACGAAATTTAAGGTGATTAAATTTGACCGTCTTTTCGTTTTTTTAAATTTTCCCTAAATTTGGGGACTTGCCAACGTAATGTTGAACTGATTTTGACCTTACTGAGATATTGTGGAGTTAAATCTAGGGGAAATTAGCTTATCTCCCGGGAAAATTGAATGACCTTTGAAGTGACGTATTTGGGGATCCGACCCCCCCCCCCCTTAAAATTAGTTCGAAGTGATTTCTGCATTTTTTATTTAAAAGGGAACACAATTTTGTAAATTTTTCCGTTTATTTTTTCTTTACGATAATTTGAACCGGAGTTATGATTTTTTGAAAATAAGTCAAATTTGACCTTTGTCCTATCATAACTCGGTCAAAAATTAAGATATTGATCTGCGGTTTGCGCCAAAATTCTTAGTTTTTTATGCTGTTTCAAAGGAGGTATCACAAGGGGTTGCCATTTGAAAAAAAAAGTTGGGGGCCCCCGACCCCCCCCCCTGGGGGGAACCAACATTTTGACCCCCCCAAAAGATGGTCCCCTTTAAGATAGGAACATTCCCTAAGTTGCATTTCCCTGGCTTAATTCGTTCAAAAGTTAGCAGGGGTGGGACGGACTATAGGTACACCCTGTATATTCTGTGCTATAGGAGCTACCCGTAACAAATGCGTCACACAAGTAAATGTTACACGTGAGATAAGATACTTTCTCTTGAGAGCGTGCTACTCACCACATGCATAGCGTCATTAAAGAAAGGATCCGAAGGAAGTGAAGAAATTTGCATTTGTCTCAATGTAGCCGGATGACTGTGGTACCGGTCGGGACCCCATCAAATCCATTTCGTCTCGCTCTGGCGGGTGTCGACCAACTTCATTCGACTCCAATAAATTAAATATACAATTAAACAATTTTTTCCTTATATTAAACTACTATCTTACGGCAGTTCCAGCAATTTCTACAATGAATTTGGTAAACACTCTTATTTGGACTGCATTTTGCAATTTGGACCTATAAATCCTGGCTCATCTTGAAAAACACGTATGTGCATAGGGAAACTAATGGTACAAACGTTATTTTTAAATCGGGCTAGAATTTATAGTTCCAAATTGCAAAATTTAGTCCATTTAACAAAGCAAAAATAATGAATAACCGACTTCCTCAAGAATTTTGGGCGACCAGTCGTCTAATTGACGAATATTATTCTCTTTAAAAATAAAAACAAATTCTGTTAGAAAAAACAAGCATTTTTGACATTTTGTCGGTCGAAAGAAATTTCATGGGGAAAAAAGAAATTTCATGAAATTTCTTGTGAAATTTCACGAAATTTCGTTTGATGAAATTTCTTTTAGCAACTCTGCTCATGAAGAATCAGCCCTTTAAACAATTTTTCCGCTATCGTGATACATTTTCAAGAGAGACGAACATTTTCAAACTGTCGAAAATTTTGTAGTTAGATAATGCCTAACGGACAGATAAATATGAGTGGTCCTTCATTAAAAGTAGACGCAGAGTCTTGATTTAAGTTTAATTTGATACCGAAGCCTTTGTACGATGAAAAACACCCTGCCTCTAATGTCCGTGAAATGTAGCTCAAGCATATCTTCCGGATGTATTTTGAGTCGCTGAGTCCGAAAATGGCCTCCACTCATTTCCATCACCATTCACCCTTCAGTTAGGTGCCTACCAAGAAAGCCAATACTTCCCGGGAAAATAAACGAATTTGACTTTTTTCATGGATGCAGTTTTTATTTTGTAAATTTTCCTGGACCCGTGATAGAAACTTTCTTTTGAATTTCAGGATGCTGAATCCAAATTGAACCTTCATTTTTTCCAATTGCCCTCCATTTTTCAGGAAAAGTCGATTTTTGACTTGATTCACTATCATATTCGGCTTTAACAACTTAAAATACAGAAATGTAAGAAGGTTAAGAATAACGATTGCACTCAACACCTTTAATTGCACCACCCACATTTTTTAATAACAATAAATAAGTCAATCACACATCTTTATTACCTTTTCCACAAAATTATGTCACCAATACATACCAAATAATACTTACAGTAAAATCACATGGGTTCAGAAAAAATGTACAAAAAAATTTGCATGCATGATAAAGATACGCCAAATTTAAGCGTTTTTCAGGGAAAAAGTGGCTTTTCTGGAAAACTGAGAGATGGTGGGCAAAAATTTAGAGGCCATTTTTGAACTCAGCGGCTAAAAACACATCGGAAGTGTTATGTAGCAGTTGGTAGTATGTATGAGTAGTGATATTGTCGCTACTTAGGTGTCAGGCCTGCTGGGCAAGCTTGTATCTTCATCAATACACTCTGTCGTTATGTCACGCAACTCGTGCACTTCTCTTTTCCATCATCCTTAGTTTTTCCGATATAACAAATGGCGACGAGTTTAATTTCTTCCGATTTTCAAAATTCGGAACTCTTTCTCTTTAACGTGTTTTTGCGTTAACGGTCGCGTTTTTCTCGCGCTATCGCTCGACCCCGTGAAGTGTGCATCGCATCATGTCGGATGGTGAAACAGATCCTCCTCAACCTCAAAGCCTCGAAGCTAAACTCGCCCAATTAACTGACTTGGTCCTGCAGCTTGCCGCTTCCCAATCTTCACCGACGGTCCAATCCGCCTCCTGGTTCTCTTTTGATGCTTTCTCTACAACGTCTCAAGAACAGATAGAGGATTACTTCGACAGGTTCGAACTCAAATTGAACTTATGCCATGTGCCTAAAACTCAATGGGCAAACCAGGCTCGGGTGCACATGGGCCCCGAGTTAAATGCATCATTAAATGCTCTTTGTTTTCCTGTCCTTCCTAGCTCGCTTGACTTTGCATCACTCAGAAACAAGCTCATTTCTCACTATGCCAAATCGCGTAACAAATTTAGTGAAGCCATCACCTTCCGTAAGATTCATCAGCACGCTGATGAGTCTATATCAGATTTTGTGTCTCGCCTCAAGACCGGTGCGCGATATTGTGAGTTTGGCGACTTCCTAGATTACTCGCTTAGTATTCAGTTCATCCACGGCCTGTTTAGCGATGACATCCGCGATGAAATTGTAACGAAGCAACCTGCCAACTTCGATGCTGCTGTCGCTGTGGCGACTAACCTCGAATCTTCCTTTCAAGCCTCTGCCATCCTCAAGCCCACTTCTGCCCAACACTCAACCACTATCAGCAAGTTTTCACATGAAACTAGACCCAAACTCAAGAAAAACTCAGGAAACTATCGGAGCCGCAGTCATCCTCACAGTAAGAACTCACACCGCAGCCCTTCTCACAGTAAGAATTCTCATTGCAATCCTTCTCACAGTAAGAACACAAACTCTTGTTTATCTTGTGGAGGTTCTCATAACCGCAGTACATGTAAATTTAATAATGCTGTCTGTAATTACTGCAAAATCCGAGGTCACATTGTCAATGCATGTAAGGAGAAAAAGTACTCTAATGGTAAAGAAGTTCATGATAATACCAGAAACAATTCTGATAATTCTAAAGTCAATGATTTTCGTCCCGATTCTGATACTTATTATCTGCAACATCAATTTAAATCGATCTCTGGCGGCAGTCCACCAATTTTGCTCGATGTCCTCATCAATGGTAAATCACTCCGTATGGAGCTCGACACAGGTGGTCCCTGTAGCCTTATCAGTCATAGCACGCTCCAAAAAATATTTCCTCGTGCCAGAATGACTAAAATTAATGAAAGTTTCACCTCTTACACTCAAACTAAGTTCAACTGTATAGGTTACATTTGGGCTAAAGTGACTTTCAGGAATCGTACTGAGTACCTCAAATTATTCATCACTGATATCCCTGGCGATAACATTTTTGGTCGTCAATGGATTGAACCTTTTGCAGATCTCTCTCTTCATGAACTCCTCCACAATCAAACTGATATTAACAATGTATGTGCACACAATTCTCTAAATAAAATGGACTCTATTAACCTTAACAAGTTTCTCGACAAACACAAAGATATTTTTGGGGATAAAGCAGGCACCCTCACTGGACCTGCCCTTGATTTTCACTTCAAGCCAGGTGCAAAACCTAAATTCTGTAGAGCTCGACCGCTTCCCTATTCCATGCTAGATCAGTACGCTGCCCAAATTGATGAAAAAATCAAATCAGGATTCTATAAAATGGTTGATCATTCTGAGTGGGCTAGTCCCACACATGTTGTTGTCAAAAACAACAAGCTGAGAATTACGGGCGAAACCACTCTCAATCCTAACCTAATAATTGACGACTATCCTATTCCCAGGCCGGAGGAACTCTTTGCAAAAATTCGTGGCTGTAAATACTTTTGCAAGCTGGATGTTAAGGACGCATTCATGCATCTTCGGTGCTCTCAGGCTGCATGCGAAGCGATGACTTTGAACACTCCAACGCATGGGTTAATCCAGCCTACAAGAGCGCAGTATGGTGTCTCTGATATCCCCCCTGGTAAAAATGGCAAGTGCTCAGATCAGTAGCACTTGCCTTTGGAACAGACCTAAGCACTGATGTCAGTGCTGCCGGGCGCTGATCTGCTACCTCAGTGTTAGGTCTGTTCCAAAGGCAAGTGCCTCTGATGTAAGTGGCACTGACCTAAGTGTCTCAGACGTAAGCGGAGTGGAAACTCCCAGAAATACTGTACAGGCAAAAATTTCGTTAATTACCGATCTGCCAGGTATGTTAAGTCACTATTTGACGATCAGGGAGGGCTGCTGTGAGTTTTCAATCCCAAGCAAGTATCACAATCTTCAGGGGACATCGCTCGTTCCCATGCGGTCTCCAATCTAAGTACTAACTACGCCCGACGTAACTTAACTTCGGTGATCGTCCTAGCGATTGGACCACTACACTACCTGCGCGTGTACGTGTTAGGGGCGTAATTTTACCATTTCAGGGCCCCCATTGGGGTAATTTTGCCAGCAAATGATGATTTTGTCTTTGAATGTGAATCCGATACTTAATTTTTCTATTATTCTTTTTTAATCAATCAACATGTAAATGAAGTTTTGTAAGTTACGTTTCTTTGAAAAAAAATGGATCGCACTAAAATTCAAAATTAAAGCTAATGATGCAAAAAAAATAATGAAAGTTGAAATTATACAAAAAATATAAATTAGCAGACACAAAAATTGAAAGTAAAGGAGTAAAAAAGTTAGAAAAGAATTAAAAATAAAGTAGGAAAATTTAAAAAAAAATTAAGACTGGAACATTTTAAAAAGAGTTATAACTGAGAAAAATTAAAACCAAAAAAACAATTTTTTTTACAAAAAACTCCTAAGTTAAAAAAAATAATAATGCTTAAATAAATACATCGAAATACATATTATAGCGGTGATAATATTTTTACCGATCTCATTTTTTTTTTGGTGTTTTAATTATTTAAGTGCCATCTTAAACGAAGAGGGTAAAACAAATTATTCAAGAGTGTGGCTATCTGAACTAGTTTTCCTTCCCTCTTACAAAATCCCACCTTCTACAAAATACGCCTCTCTGAAAGATAAAGTTTATGGTCCCCGTATCCCGAAGAAATATTCCCCTACGAAAATGAAATAGGGCTGGGGAAGGGGGAGTCATCTCTACTTTTTGGGAGTGAGTGCGGTTCGATTAAGACTGATGTCAGAGACTTACGGACCTCAGTGGAAAATTCACTGACCTAACACTTGCCATTTTTACCAGGGCCTGCTGCCTGGCAACGTCGTCTGGAGCAAATTTTAAAAGGTATCAAAGGAGCCGTCAATTTTTTTGATGATATATCAGTATTTGGTTCCTCAATTGAAGAAATCTTTGCAATTCTTGGCGAACTTTTTCAGAAGCTGAGAGAGGCGGGTATTATACTCTCTCGCGAAAAATGTCAATTCTTCCTCACATTTATTGAATTTCTTGGTCACATGTTGGATGGAGAAGGAATTCATAAGCTAGATAAACATGTTCAAGCTATAGTTCAAGCAAAGAAACCTGAGTCTGCTGAAGAACTTCGAACATTTTTAGGCAAGGTTACGTACTATCATTCTTTTATTGATAACCTCTCGACACGTACTTATCCTCTAAGGCAAATGCTACAAACCTCTCATTTTGAATGGACCAAAGCTGGTTTGGCTGCCTATGAAGATCTCAAAAGTGAGCTCGTTTCTGAAAAGGTATTAACACCTTATGATCCCAGTTTACCGATAACGCTTGCAGTTGATGCAAGTCCAGTGGGACTCGGTGCTGTGTTGTCACACATCATGCCAAATGGCACTGAAAGGCCAATTGCCTATGCAAGCAAAAGTCTTAGTGAAACGCAACAACGTTATGTTCAGCTTGATAGAGGAGCCTTAGCTATCGTCTGGGGTATCAAACGTTTTTTTCAGTATATTTATGGTCGTTTGTTCACCCTCATCACAGATAATGAACCATTATCACACATCTTTGCTCCTGATTCATTATTGCCAAAATTTACTTTGTCTCGATGCTCAAATTATGCCAGTTATCTCACTAACTTTACTTATAATGTCAAATTTAGACCCTCAAAACAGAATGCCAATGATTACCTCTCTAGAAGTGTTAATGGTAATTATGATCCTACTGATGATCTTCCAGACCACTTCCACTTTTGTATCGGCGCAAATTGATCAATTGCCCCTCAGCACAGAAGTTATCGCTTTGGAAACTCAACAAGACCCAGAGTTGTCTACACTCTTCCAAGCTCTTGAACAAGGTAAAGACCTCAAAACTCTTGGGTTCAAAGGGAATCAGCTGGAATACTCTATTGTTCAAGGATGCTTGATGCTCGGACATAGGGTCGTCATCCCTCAAAAATTTCGTCAGAAATTATTGGATGAACTGCATCTCGCCCACTTGGGAATCACCAAAATGAAAGGCATTGCCCGCTCCATCATCTACTGGCCTAACATCGACAAAGACATCGAAAGTATTGCAAAATCTTGTATTCCATGCCTCGAGAATTCAAGAATGCCACCCAAATGCAATAATCATGTTTGGGAATATCCAAAAAAACCTTGGGAACGTGTTCATGCTGATTATGCTGGACCAATTTTTGGCAAATTTCTTCTAATTGTTGTTGACGCATTTTCAAAATGGACAAAAATCTTCATCACAAGCTCTACAACTAGTGAAAAAACTTTTGAACTGTTGTTTGATTCCTTTGCAGAATATGGAATTCCAGACATACTTGTAACGGATATTGGTCCTCAATTCACTTCCGCTGAGTTCCGATCCTTCCTCACCGATCAAGGGGTTAGATTCCACAGAAGAATCGCTCCGTACCACCCAAGTACAAACGGACAAGCAGAACGATTTGTGCAATCAGTGAAACAAGCTCTCAGAGCTATGAATGCTACTCCAAAGACACTTCGGCTCTGCTTAAACAAATTTTTAATGCACTATCATCGTGCTCCTCATCAAACCACTAAAGTTCCTCCATCATCTCTTTTCTTAAACAGAATCATAAGAACAAAACTTGACATCATCTCACCACTCTCTGAATCTCACTTAAGTCCTACAGAGGAAAATCTCGAAGAATGTTCCTCCTCAATAGACCTCAAGAATCCGTCTGTTTCCAGTCAAGCCTCTCCAAAAGGTTCTCTTCGTTCTTTCCAAGCTGGAGATACGGTTCTTTTTCGAACATATAATTCAAAAATCAAGTGGTTAAAGGGTACAATCGCAGTTAAACTAGGCAAACTTCATTATTATGTTGATCATCAAGGCACTCAACATAAACGTCACATCGACCAACTTCTACCTTTTCACTCCAACTCTACCTCCTCAGTACACCTCGTCGAATAAGATTTCTTGATGAAATTCAAGTTGTAACACAAGAATCTCCTACCAAACAGCGTTCAAACTTCAGTGGTAGCTCTCCTTGCAAACAGCCTCCTCTACAAATCATCCAAACTCCAGTACCAACTAAACAATCTTCTCTACCAACAAACTCACAAACGTCTCAGAACTCTTCTCAACAACAAGGCACTCAAGCATGTAAGTCCTCACAATCTCAACATACTCCAGAATCTCAAAGAAGCCGAAGCTCTCCGCAAGTTCAAAGTCAACCAAGTAATGATCGGTCTCCGCCCAAGCAACAATCTCCAATCTCTCTACAACAATCTAACAAAGCTCTAGTCACTCCAACCAGTCAAGCAAGACCTCTTAATGTCAAATCTCCCGAAACATTTTTTACTCCAGATGAGACAGCAGTTGTTATTACTTTAGATGAATCACCGCCCAAAAGTACAAATCGTACATAGAGAAAAAAAAGGAGGTGTTTGCATTTCGGGCATCTTGGAATTTTTCATAGAGTATCTATAGCTTTGATGACGTCATTGGGTACAGCGACGTTTTTATCCTGTCGATTTTCTTGGAAATGGTGTAATTTAAGGGAAAAAGTCATTCTATAAAAAGTGCTTGAAATTAAATAAAGAGTTGATTTAAGTAAAAAAATCGGACATTATGGTCCGTTTTTACAGCGTCAACATAACCCTCAACGAGCGTCTTGTTTACATTGATGACGTAGGTGGGTACAAATCCTCAAGATGCAAACACCTCCTTTTTTTTCTCTATGCAAATCGTACCCCACTATCTAGTGTATCTCGACCCCCCTCAGTAGGTAGAGGTAGGGCAATAATAGACCGTATTCGATAACGGTTCGATGTATCGTTTGGTTCAAAACAATAGCACATAACCTCAGACCAAACTGTAAGGATTTAAGTTGGAATAGCTGAAATTGAGAAAATTCCTAACAATTTCACTTTAAATTGGCATTAGGTACGCAAAAGAATAAAAAATCTGTTACAAAAGACCCGTTCTCTCAGATTTCTGAATTTACTTTTGAGGCTATGTTTATATTTTGAACCAATCGATATCGATACAATCTCAGCCGTTTGATGTATCGCATACGATCTATTAGAAAATATCAGACCTTCCAAACCTCCAGATCGGTATACGCCTCCTTAATCTATCAATACATACCAATCTGTCTGTAATAGTTCACTCTATTGAAATTTTATTGTTTTAAAGGTATAAATACTCTAACTCATCTCCTGCCCTTACAGCTCTTGAAAATTGTAAATCCATTCTCTCTGTATGTTTTTCTTGTACATTTTAAATCAGAGCTTAAATCTTTCTTGTATGTTTTCCTTTTAAAATCCCTCAGATTTTAAAATGGGCAGGGAGACTGTTATGTAGCAGTTGGTAGTAGGTATGAGTAGTGATATTGTCGCTACTTAGGTGTCAGGCCTGCTGGGCAAGCTTGTATCTTTATCAATACACTCTGTCGTTATGTCACGCAACTCGTGCACTTCTCTTTTCCATCATCCTTAGTTTTTCCGATATAACAGGAAGGCACATATCTTGTACTTGAGAGCAATTTTACGATTACATTTTGCAGGGAATAACAGTCCCAAAAATGGCAAAAAGTGCACATTTTCCGGGAAAATTGGCTTTACCGGAAAAATGGAGGGTGATAGAAAAAATCGAGGTCATTTCGGAAGTCAGCGCCTCCAAATAAATAAGGATCACCTTCAGTATCTCGTCTCGAGGATATTTGTGTCATCTTTTTTTGTTCCTCTGTGATATTCTAATAGTACCTAATGCGATGAACTTTATGAATGAAATGCAATTGCTGTCACGGGTCTAATTTTGGTCACGCAGGAATGATGATAGTATCAAATTAAACTTTACTAGATCCGTCCAATGACGCATACAGCTTTGATTTCAATTTCTTCTAGCTTCTTAGAACGTAATGAATTTGACGTATCTAGTAGCAACCGAATTACACGGTAGTGGAGGGCGTCATCGACCCCATAGGCCTTGTCTCGACGGCGCAACTGTTGAGGGAATTAGGTGCAACTGCAGCGAGTTTGTTGCACCAACCGAAATTCCCTGTCTCGACGCGCACGCATGTGTTCCTGGAACTTTTAGGCGGGAATATTTGAACAATATTAATTTTTCTAGGTTAAACGATGTCAATTGAGATAATTGAACTGATAATTATGAACGGGAGGTGAATATTTTGCGTTATGTCGACCAGGTATAAAACAAAAAACAATAACATTACTCCGATTTGCTACAAACGAAAATATAAAATTGATACTGAAATGTGTACAAATATTTCTAAATAATAACCGGTCAGAAATAAAACACTCGTAATAAACTCCCGCTTCACGTGTAACCAACAATTATCAATGCAGAACACAAAGGTAAACAACTGTTGAGGTTCCAGGTTTCTGACCTTGAAAGTTTCACTTACAAGTGAAACATTTTTGAGACACTTCCTTCCTTCAACAGTTGCGCCAATTTCCCTCAACAGTTGCGCCGTCGTCGAGACAAGGCCATACGGATCACTCGTCGTATGACGCGCACCGTCGCGTTTCGCTTAAATTGTCTCGCGGGCCTGTTTTTTATCGTGAAAATTTGACTTTGGTATCAAATTAAACCTAAATTAAACCTCCGTCTTTTTTTAATAACGGAACACTATATTTTATTCGCCCGTTAGGCATCATCAAACGACAAAATTTTTGACAGTTTGAAAATGTTCGTTTCTCTTGAAAATTTATCACGATAGGTAACGGCAAAATTGTCTAAGGAGTTACATGAGCTTCATGAAGAGCTTCATTAGTACATCTGCTTATTAAAAAAAAAAAAAAAAAAAATTATAATCGATGGCACAGCAACGGAAATACAGCGCACTGAAGGGTCGCGTCGACCGTCTAAGGCGCCGAAACGGGTCCCGCGGCGCTACTTTTAAATTGCTCTCACGAGCTTATTTATTATAGCACGAAAACTGTTTTGGTACCTATCAAATTTAAGGTCGGACAATTCTACGACTCCAGCAGAGAAGGCAAAATATCAATTTTCTCGCCGGTCTAAATCTTATTCGACCTCAAAATTTCCGAAAAATTTACATTTTTCAGTTTCCTCCAATTAAAAAAAAAATCCCCCTTTTAGTCTTAGAGAAAAATTGGTTAGGAATAAACGTACACTCCTGGGAAATACCTTTTATTGCAAAAAAGTTGATCAAAATCGGATCAATAGCAACCAAAGGACAGCGCTTACGCTTTGAACAAAACCATCTTGCTCCAGTCACGAGTCTCAGCGTGTTGCCCCTTCCAGTATCACTCGTGAAAGCACCAAGGAGCCTTGAAAGCGGCATATTCCAATCAAAAGTGCAGGGGTTTTGCCATTTTTGGATTGTAGGCGGCGGACTATATACGCCCAGGGGTCGAATTCCCTTTTATGATTCGGTGATACTCACGAATGCATCCTGTAACATTTGCTCTCCAATTGCAGCACGATGGCCAGCTCGTTTTAATGATGGTTACTTCCACTTGCATCAGCTTTTCATTAAGAGTGTTATACCCACAGTTTTATTACAAAAAGGGTTCACGAATGATAATGGAGTGAAAGACATAGCTGAGATCCTGAAGTGGTATTATCTCAAGGATGTGGAGCCGGGTGATGTGACAAACATAATTGATCGAATGGCTCAGGTAAATTATTCGGAACAAACCTTTTAACGTTGAAATTCAGAGGCCTTTTTCCGAATGGACATGTTGCAAACTTTTGCTAGGGCGAAAATAAGAGTTGTTCCTCGCAGAAAATCGAAGAAAATCCGGCACACAAATCGAGATGGGCGCATTGGTAAAGTCTAAAATGCACTCCTAACGTCACAATCTACATAAGAAAATTGCAGTTTACAAGCTTCCCTCTTCAAAAACCAAGATACATCTAGAGTCCCTTTATACTGAGAGTCAAGACAATGTGAATCCATTTCTGATTGGTTCCCGTATTTTAGGCCTTCACAGTGTCACAAACGGGAATAAAGATTACATTTTCACCAATTGCAAAGATTATAATCTGGAATGGACCAGGGAATTACGGATTCGGCAAGGAACAAACGGAATGAGAGAAGGAACGGAGAGAGGAATTTGAGAATGGGCCGATCAAAGATTACAAAAAACCAACAAAAAACGTTCAATTTCTGTAATATTTATTCCCGTTTGTGACTCCATGAGGGGTGTTGTCTTGACTCTCAGTATAAAGGGACTCTAGATCCATCCATATAGGTCAGTCATTACGCAGATTTCCCCCCGCTCGGGGTAAAGCCTCATCGTGCCCGATCCATTGGCTCGTGACGTCATTATTACTGCCGCGAAAGCGAAAAAGCACGGATACAATGCTTTTCTTATGGGAGAGAGCACATTTTTCTTAATGAATCATTAAAATTTCTTACTTGTAAATCCTTTGGAACTTTCTGAGTGTCGAAAGGAGCATTTAGAAATTATCACTTAGGGTTTCGATTTTTCCGAATTTATGTTTTTTCATTTTTACAGTTTACTCTGCATCAGCCATTTTTACACGTGAATCTACACCACTAGATGGCTTGTTACAATCGCTGACTTCAAAAATCATTTAAACATATAAAAATGCAAATTCAGCTGAATTGAAACCCTGGACGCAAATGTCTATAAACATTCATTTCGACACTCAGAAATTTTTAAACGATTTAAAAGTAAGAACTTTAAATGATTCATTAAGAAAAATTTGCTCTCTCTCATAAGAAAAGCATTGTTTCCGACTTTTCTGCTTTTTGCGGCAGTAATGCTGACGTCATGCGCAGAAGATTCTCATTTCGGTTTCGGGAATGACTAACCTATATGGATGGATCTTGTCAAAAACGAAACAACGGCACAGCGCACAGGTGAACATTACGTAGGAGGAGTCGTTCTATCCAAACCTTACGCATTATAACTAACATGACAGACATTTCTGCGCGCAGATGGAGGGGAGCACTGCATAAGTTCAATCACTACGGAGCTTCATCAACACTAATCAACACGAGAAAAACGTGGATTTAAATATGCCAGTTGTTAGCAAATGGTTAGAATCCCTAGAGTACCTTTATAGACAGAGTATGGCCATTTCTGTTCCAGTTTTTCATTGGTCACGTGAAAATAGGCTGACACGATGTTCTTACGGCCGCGTAAATAAACAAACATAAGATGGCTGTTATCAGCAAGCAAGATTAAGGTTATGCACATCTTACATCCTCCTGTGATAAAAGTGAAAGGCGAGTTAACAATGTTTTCGTGTGTTTTTCGTGTGTTATTCGTAGATTTGCTAGTTTAAATTGTTACAGCCGCATAATTGAGATCTTTGTCAGATTTAGCTTCTTATCAATGTTACGGTGAGCCGCCATTTTGTTTGCTTATTTACGGCCGTAAGAGCATCATGAAGCCTAAAAACTCGATGACCAATCAAAAAGCGGAACAGTTTTCTCGTAGTAAAAGGATACGAATGACCATACTTAGTACGGTGGCTTAGCGCCAAAAAAGAGACAAATGCTGCAAATCGTGATTCAGTTTTGCAACTTTGGGAGATCAAACTAGATGATATTTTAAGCGTTTTGAGTCGAAGAGGCATTTTCAAAATGGTGGCAGATCCAAGATGGCGGCCATTCAAAATGGCGGCCGGGAGTGGTACTTTGAGCCGCTATAGATCGAGATCCACCAAACCGATTTAATTTTTCTTTTTTTTGTTTGATAAATATTTGAAAGGTAAATACAACAAAATCACAAAACTTTTTATTTTGACAATATACAGGGTGTTTTTTTTCATAAAAACCGGTTTTTGTGTATTGATAAAAAAGCTTTTAACCCATATATCTTTTAAAATCGCATTATTAAGGTCACTTTAAATACTCGCCATGTAAAAGAGCGTCTTTTAAGCTTTCCAACGATATATTACATGATGGGTCTATGATTTAAGGTTTCCGCGCCACTGCGATCCGCGCGGCGGCGGCACAGCGCGGGCCTGCATAAATTAGTCCACGGGCATATGTTGAAAAGAAGCCTCCCGTGGAATAGTAAATGGAGTAAGTGTGGAAAATGGCCTATTCTCTTCCTATCGATGTGTAGTAAAATAATTTTGATGTTGTCAAGCTCAATTTTGCGTCCAACCCCTCCAATTCAACATAACGGCCAAAATGAGGGCTCGGGGTTGAAGATGTTGGAATTTGTTTTTGATGTCGTGTTTTGGGTCGATCACTATGTAATTTTGGTCGTAGAATTCGAATTTGAGGTCCAAAATTGTCTCCGGCTCAAAGGGATGCCCAAAATCCAATATGGCCGCCAAAATGTCCACGATAGGGTCAAATCTCTGAGAGTTGCGTAAAAGTGCCAAGTAGGGTATCTTTCCTAAGGTTTTTTGGGTGGTAGATTTCACTGATGAGGTCAGAATTTTACTACAGGTTTATTGAGGCCCAAAAATTTCAATATGGCGGCCAAATAGCTGCCATTGCGGGGTGAAATATTTTGTTGAGGCTCGTATCGTCAAGTGAGGTGTCCCTGCATGGGTTTTTTGGGTCGTAGATTTCACAAATGAGGTGCAAATACCCAAACAGGCCCATAAAAGTTCTCTAAGAACCAAAGTGGTGGCCAACATGGCTGCCGCTCAGATAGTGAGAACGGTAGAGAAGTTACCTTTCATACAATGATGAATTTTCGTGTACCTATATGTTTTGTACGCCGCTGATTCCGGATGTAGTCCTCTAGTACATCGGACCGGTCGCGGTAGTGGTCTGTAGTACATCTAGGACATGCTCAAGAGCGTATTTCCTGATTTTTCCAAGAAGATACTTTTCTCGATGAAAGGACAAAATACACTATTCTGAATACAAATCTGATTCGTTCGTTTTCCATCTGAAAAGTAGGGTGAATATTTTGTATTCGTCCGGTAGGACAAATCATGAGTACTTTTGATTGATTAGAATATTTCTTTGAGTCTACCAAGAAATTTACTTCAACACTGTCCTTGAAAAACACCTTACGCATTCATGGTGCTGTTAAATCTATATGACCGAAATTTATTACAATTATTTTGTGAGGATGAAAAAATTAAATTCAGCCTCAGTGTAAGGCACGAACAAATTACTGAACACAATGAAAATTAACTCTAGTTTACGATTTGTAGCAATTTCGTATGCAGATAGTGTTCGTTTTTTGCACGCCTCATCCTACTTAACAGCAGGAACGTGGACTTAACAATTGAGAAGCTTTCCGGAAAAAGGGCACATTGCAAAAAATTGCGTATGAGAAAATAAGGTTCCATCATTACTTTCCAGTCACTGATGATAACTTACATCGCAGCTTAGACTCCCGATTTCGAACGTAAGTCACAGTCAGTGGCCATAATTATAATGATTGAAACTTCGAATGCATTTTTCTCAAAGGCCATTTTTTGCTGTAGGTGCCCTTTTTCCGGATGCTGAGTATGAGGCAAGGATCTCATATAGTTACTCTAGGAGGAATTTTGGGGCTGAGCCCGGATACCCTGCTAGTGGGGCGGATTGGCATAACAATCGTGCATTTCCGGATAAAAGCATGAAACTTTCAGGAAGTCTTCTACACCGATGAAGAAACGAATTTAGCCTGGGTGCCCAGTTCTATGGGGTCCCAGGGGGGCAGGGGGGCGGGGGGACCCTAAAATCATAAAATTCAGGTTTTTCTGTGAGAATTTTTGTACACAAGGGCATAAAACTGATTGAGTTTGCGGAATTGACCAGTTCAAGGCCACCTCAATACATACTGGAACGATTTCACCCACTAATCGCCCAATTTTGACCAAAAGGGTGCTCGGAGGGGAGGGGGG